CCATATAGCCCAGCCGGTGTGGCTCAGTGGTTGAGCATTGACCTATGATCCAGGAGATTGTGGTTCAATTCCCGGTCAGGGCACATCACAGGTTTCGGGCTCAATTCCCAGTGGGGGGCATGCAGGAGGCAGCTGCTCAGTGACTCTCTTTCATCGTTGATGATTCTCTTTCTCTCTCCCTCTCCCTTCCTCTGTCTGAAATCAATAAAAACATATATATTTTTAAAAAGTGCCATATACATTTATTATATGGGCCAGGTACAGAAATCCAGGTACAGAAACCAGGGTGCAGAGACTCACCAAGAAAGCCCCGGATGCCTAGCAAGGGGCAAAACTGGGAAAACAAGAACCTTGTCCCCAGGGTAACCTATCCTCCCCCAGCATATCACTGGTCCTGTGGTTTAGATCCCCTGGGGGTTTCCTCCCCAAAGATAACACCCAGGCCTCAGTTATATTTCAGCTCCAGGCCCAGAAAAGCAGCAAAATCAGACAAGTGGTGCACTGCGGCTGCCTCAGGACCAGCTACATTGACTAATGACCCCCGGCCCTGACACCGACCAATCAGTGGAGGCTACGACCCTGAGAGAGCACCCCTGGAAAGCTGATGGATATTCTATCGAGACACTCCCTTGAGACCGCCCCTAAGATTTCCACCTGCAAGAAAGAGACAAATGCTCTCAGGACAAAGGAACCAGCACACCATCCCCACCAGGGGAGCTCGCCAGGGCCATCTCCTTCCCCCCCTTCCCTCCGAGGGGACCCCACGAGACTTGCAACCAGGGGAGCAATAGGCAGCAGCAGTTCATCCTGGGCTTACCCCTGAACCTGTCTCCAAGGCCCCCTCCTCTCTCTCTGACTTCTCAGTGAGCCAGAGCAGCCCAGCCGAGGCTCTCCTGTTACTTCCTCTATGCACCCTCCTTGTTTCACTGTCCCAAGGATATTTTTGCTGCCATCATGGACCCAATACCCTTTGACTCAGTGCTGTGTGGTCCTTCCCTTTGGGTATCTCCATCCCCCTTTCCTTAAATAAATTCAACTTTTCTTTATCCACCGTCTGAGATGGCTATTTAGCCAACCCAGGCACCACTGACGTTAACCTTTCATACATGCTATGAAATTTAGACATTGAAATTTAGATACCTATTTCTACAGAAACCAAAGAAAGAAAACTCAGATGTCAACAGATGAGGCAGCTGTCACTCACACAGACCCTAAAAGGTAGCAGGACCTTGACTAAAACAATGGTTCAGAGTCTGGGTCTATGGTTTGTAGAGACAGAAACCAGTTTTACCAGAGTACCCAGCTGGACACGTACTAAACAAATTCACACAGTATTGCTGTATAAATTAATTTACAAATTTATTCATTTACAATAAGGAAATATACTATCCAGTGAAAGAACACTTATGCTATCAAAACATACCCTCTCTGAAATAAAATATTATAGGGAGCTGAGTTAACAATAAGCTAAAAAGGCTGCCTGGTAAGCACAAATTTAATGGGTCCTGAGGAATATTTCATCCAAGCCAAAAAAAGCCTGAGAACTGTCTCTGGTGCACCAGAAAGTAGGCTTCTCCAGTATGTTGATGCCTACCAAATTTAATATTCTTTTTCCTTGGATAGTACTATATAAATATTACCAAAGAGAAAAAACAAATTACCAAAACCCTATCTGTCATACTTTCTTTCAGTCCTTTATATTTCTGCATATATTTTCTCTGCTCTCTTCCTGGACTACAGCAGACTACTGCCTTCTGTTAACAACCCCCACCTCCCTTTTTAGACAAGTATCAAAATCACTGATAAGTAGTTTCCTTTCATATGAAACACAGTAATACTTTTAGGTTGGTTACTCCTGCTACTACTAACATTTACCCTATTCCCCATTAGTGACACAATGTAAACTTAATCCCCCCTAATGCATATTCGAATTACAA